AATCCAGCAAAGGGTTGAATCTGTTGCATGGTCTGTGTAGTTGATTTTTGCATGTCGGGGAAGCTTAGCACACCTGGCGTATGTCGGAAACCCAGCACATTGCAGGATACCTGCACGTGAGCTGTAGTGTTGATCTGTAGGCGAGCAGTGGTGGTTTCTCCAGGACTTTGAGTCCGATAGCCAAGACCCAGTAGTTCAGAGTGGCTTGCCAGACGTCTGCAAGCCCTGGACAAACAAGTCCTCCATCTGGGCAGCGCAAGGCTACCTCCAGGGAAGCCCAGACAGAAGATAGCTCTGTCCCACACATGTATCCACTAGGTAGGAAGCAGATAACATGTGTGTTCTCTATAGGCGTACTGCTGTGGCACTGTCTCGCTGTTGGGTATGATTGCGTAGAGTACCAGACTGAAGAGCACGATGGGCGTGCAGCTTTTTGAACATGTGCACTTTTGGATGTGGGTTAGGACAAAGTCGTTTCTGGCAGCAAGAACATGCAGAAGTGTTTCCCTGTGATGGCGTGCTGGTATATTAACACATTTGTTCACAACTGGAGTTAGGGAATCGTTTGTCTCTTAGTTGAAGTTGTTTATCAGAATAACTAATTTCTCCTTCTCGATGTTTTTGAATGAAGCAGAAGTGTCTTTACATTTGTACCAAAACCAGGAAACAAAGCAGATGGTAAAAACAAGAACCTGTCAAAATCATAGCTCAGGAGAAGGAATATTGTTATTCTGCGCTGGTGCCTTGTATTCTCAAAAAGCTGATTGTAGTGGAGGTAGCATTTGAGCCAGCAACACTTCTCCGCTACTGGGTCTGCCAAGCTGCAGAAGACATCGGACTGCAGAGCAGTGCTGTCACGCAGGATCTCGTTGAAATACACTAGTTGAAGTTAGGAGAACTTTAAAAGGAAATCAAAACTGTGTTGTCCCAAACTGGAGAGAAAGTCTGATCAGCAGCTATGTGCTGGAAATACCTTATACAGGAAGAAAGAATAGTCTTTCATATTGTATTAAACTTTTAATGATAGACAAGAAGGAAAAAACTGATTTTCAGAAACTCAGACATATGCTGTTTTCCTTTGATTTTTTTTTTCCTGAAACGGATTCAGTAATGCTTTCTCTAAATAAATTTCTTCCAGGATGCTTGATCCTACAAGGGGAGCAACACTACGCCTCCAGTTTCAAGCTTGATCTCTTGTCCATTCTGTAGTACTACACATTTATCAAATAACAAGTAATGAGCAGGGCAGAAAAGCCTTTCCAAGCCACATGTGTAAGCAGAGGAAGAAGGCAGTTTCTGGTTGATATCCATGATTAATCATGCAGTGCAAAGAACTAAGTTCTTTGAACTACGTTCAAACTCCAAGAAATTGTGGGTTGCTGCGCTAAAATGAAGTAAATCTGTGACAGTGCACTGTGAGGGACAGACAAGTACAAATTCTAGATTGATTTTATATTATGCAGGTTCCTGGGAGGAAAAACCATGCTTGAGCTGGATAGGGATCTTTCATCTGTAATGTTACTATATATAAAAATTTTTTCTTTGCACACTGTGAATGTATTTTGCATCATGACATAATACATTTGTGTTGCTGTGGAAACACAGTAATGTTATTTTCGTTGCCCTAGGAAACACAGAAACAACGCCTGAGAGCGGCTGTCATACCAGTTTGGACGGATAATCATTTTCTCTTCTATCCAACAAAAATTTCCTACCGTACCTGAAATAGCAGAATTATTATTCAGTTTAAGTATCCATTCACCTAAAATGGGCTAGGTGCTCCATGCACAAAAATAACCAGTCTCTACTGTAAGGGCTTTTCAGTCTGTGGCACTGATCCAGCGCTTTTGCCCTTGCTTAACATCAAACCTGTGAGAAGTCCCACTGAAATCAATGGGACTGCTTATGCGCTTAACATTAACTACACGCAAAAGTGCTTTGCTGGACTGATGCCGAATGAAAAGTAAGCGAACGCGGTCCTTGGTTCAGAACGCACATTTGAGAACTTGAGAGAGCTTGTTGCTATCGATTTTGCTTTTGAAACAGGGACGCGTTAGCTGTTTGTGAGCGTCCATCTTTCCAGCAACTCATTCGTGATGGCAAACATTACCAATTTAGGGGAAAAAAACCATTTAGAGGTGACAGGAGAAGACCTGAGGGGCAGCTGTACCTAGGGGAACAGAAGGCTTTGCCCAGCGGGACTGCTTGTGTGTCTGTGGGATTGTGGAAGCTCTTTTCTGGGTGTTTTAGCAAATGTTCAGCTGTTGTTTCTTCCGCTGCTCTTCTGTGAAAAAGAAAGCAGCAGGCTAACTTTATTGCTATGTTACTTCATTATTAATGAAGCCCCTCGTGTAAATTCTAGCTTTTTGACCATGTGCACAGTTAAAGACAGACCTTAGTTTTTTTTCCCCAACTCTACAAAATTTTGTTTTCACAGAATCCTATGGCTGAATGATAAATACCTTCATTTTATAAAGCAATTCACAGAGGTTAATTTTATAATGCTGAATGCAAGCGCCAAATGCATAAATGTAACTGTGCAGTAAAATCAAGTTCATGTTCTATTATGCATGGTTAGAGAAATGTTCTTTTCTTCGAACACAGATTTGTCTCTCGTACACGCTTGCTCCTATGTCTGTACATACACACATTCATTCTCATATGAGCATATCTGAATGCCTGTGGCAAAAACAAAAGCCAAGCATTTCAGCATGTAGGAATATTTTTAGCTTACGTTTCTGTATGGACCAAAGTTCCTGGAAAAAAAAGTCAATAGGTTCAAGCATTAGTCCAGTGCAATGATAAATTTTGACTCTCTGTAGATTGCTTAGTGCTGAAAGAAAAAATACTCTGGAATCCTGCTGGCCTTTTCCCCAAAGGACTTGACCCCAGTTACTCCCAGTTACTGGCTCCATATAGTACTGTCAGTAAGAAGAACTGCTCTTTATTCTGCGTAGAGCTTTGCAGTTTACCCAAAGTGCAGTGCATGTGTGTGACACAGAGGCAGCTGGGGAGGGAGCAAAGAGGAGCAGATGGACTTGTGCTTCAAGAAACGGTTTCTTTTTCTTTCTGAAAATCACTTCCCCTTCCCCCCCTTTTTTTTTTTTCAAGCGTTCCTTTCCCCACAGCCGTTGTCGTTTCTTGCCTACTGTAAGATGAGCAAAGTGTGAAACAGAAGATGGACTATGCAGTAGCCCAAGTTTAATACTTGGAAAAAAATGTTAAGTGTCTCTGGGAGGAAATATTTCTCATTAGAAACAGTATTCGGGGGGATTTGATTCAGGTAAGCTGGCTGATGGGGAAGAAAGAAGAAAAAATGGAGAAAGCAGTTAGTAAAACCTGTAATTCTTACACGTTTTGTTTGGTGGAAGAAGGGCACAGTTGTCTAATTCTTTAGAGACGACTTGGGGTGTGGTGGACGTTTCTGGCTTCGTTCTCGGTGGATGCAGCATTGGGTGTCAATAGCACGCAGAACAGCACATCTGCACTTTCTGGCCGGGGATAGTTTATTTCATTACGACATCCGTTTGCGGGGAATAGAGGGAGAGTGAATCTGCTCCTTAGGGGATGAAATCCAGTGAAACGCTTGTGCCAGAGTTGTTCTGTGTTCAGTGCGTAAACTACAGAACGCTCAAACCACCTAGCTGAGATCGGACTTGAGTCCTCCTCAGTATTAAGTTAATTCATGTAGATTTGTTCAATAATACATTTTAATTTTATGGCATGAGAGCACGAAAGTAATCTTTAGAGAAAAAGAGAAGGCATTCAATAAAATCTGAGGATGTGTCCCTCCCCTGTTACTTGAAGAGCGCTCCGAGGACGCGGCGGAGGGGCCGTCGAGCCTCAGTACCGGTGCTTCCTGCAGAGCCGGGGGACCGTCCAGGGGATGATTCAGACCATCTGAACTGAGGGCTTAGCTTCCTCCAGCACTGTCGGGAGCCCGGCTTCCTAATGTAAGCGCTTGGTTTAGATGCTTTAGAGGAAGCATGAATTCCTCTGCTGTTTCCAAACTGACAGCTTGTGTCTGAAACTGGTGGATTTACGCATGTTGTAAATCAATATAGCTCAGTATCAGGTTTGATCCTGCATGACGATTCATAGTGCGGCCTGATCATTTTACCACTAAGCCTAAATTTATTGTTGGGCTTATAATGCGTGCACATAAGAGGAAATCCCGGCAGCCTTGAAGCTGGACAAAATTTCTGTTGACCTAATGGACTGTGTCCATGGTGTATAAATCACAGGCTTTAGTGTATGCTTCAGTTCCACAGAGATGAATCTCCTGGTGACCCCAAGAGGCTTGGGGGCTTGTGACACTAGAAAGTGTTCATTCACTTTTCTCTCCTGACCTTCCTTAGTAGCTGCTGTCTGATTTACTTTCTCTCTTTCATAACCTAGCAACTTCAGTGTGCCATCCCACATGCTTTCTACCACTTGCAGTTTCTCAAGCACCAAGGAGCTCTCTTTGTGGCATTCACACCTCTCTTAGAAGACAGGTTTGCATTTTTTCTATGCAAAACTTTCCCAGTAAAGCTGGGAAAGGCTTTTTATCTAAGCTATTGTGCTCCTACCTCTTTGTTTTTCTGCATATCTATCTAGTGTATGAGATGTGAATGTAACTTAGATTTCAGGGTCTTGAGGCATATATTTTTATCTTGCATCTTTGTGAAATACCTAGGTATAGTTACGTTTCCGTACACTCATTATTTCTTGTTTCTTTGGTTTTTAATGAGCGGCTACCAGTGAAGAATCATAATGAAAACAAGCACATCTTCCATAGAGAAATATTCTTCTCAGGCAAGACTGATTCCCATTGCAGTCAAAGGAAGTTATTGCTATGATGTATGGGCACAAGTCAAGGTCCAAAGATTTTTATAATCTATCACTTTTATAATCGTGATAGATGGAGTCAAAACTAATGTTTGATATGCTAAGGCCTAATCCTCTGTAAGACAGCTCTCTTTCTGCTTTGTGTTCTTTTTTAGACATTTCACCAGCAAAAAATTATTGACTAACCAAAACGAGCTCAGGAACGAAGAGCTGAAAAGTAGGAGAAGAAAGAAGAAATTTAATCCCTCATAATGAGGTGAGATTAAAATACTTGTGGATTCAGTGATGATGACAGGATGACATGCTTATAGCCTACAGATCTTTCTGGCATACAACAGCGTAAGCTAGAATACAGAAATACAGCTAAAAAAAGAAGCATCTTGGGTAAACTGCCTCACAGGAAGAGCCATTGATTCTTTTGTAGAAATGGAAAAAACACCCTACTCTATTTAAATATATACAAAAGAAAATACAGAAACAAGTGAGGGATTAGAAGACCTAGAAAACCCCTTTCTATCACAGAAATGAATTCTCCTTGCAGGTAATGCCTAACTCTTTGAATAAGCAGCCACGCAACGTTGTCTTTTTTCCTCTGTCTATGATTTAAGTTAGTTTTTCAGAAATGCAAGCTACCGCTTAGTCTTGTCTTTGCAGTTTTTCTCCATGTATCAGTAAGGTTTCCTTGTTTTCTTCGTAGAGCTGTTCCAGAAAACTGATATTCCGAAGGTTATTAAAAAAGGGGGAATTGCTAAGGATCATGGCATTATCACTTGATGACATTATATCACTCCTATTTGTGTTTAAAATTTTCCTCTCTTATTCCCAATATTTCTTGAAATAATCTATCTTAACAAAACAATGCGTGTTCCTTGCAGTAGTCAACTACTACTGCCATAATTATTTTAATTAAGTACTACATACTGTAGTTCATAAAATCTCTGCCCATGTATTTCAAAGTCATTTAGTATAAACGCTCTGGGTGAAGTCCTGACCTCATTAAAGTCAGCGGCAAAACTCCCACTGACTTCAATAGGGTTAGGATTTCACCCTCTGTCATATGTTGCTTTTGTTTTTCCTTTCAAGTGGATGACAAGGACTTAAACACTTAAAACATTCTAAGCATAAAACCAAAAAAGAAATCTGTTTTTAATGGATAAGCGGAGTATGATACATAGTTCTGAGTTGCTCCTTAGGAAATTCAGGTCAGAAAAGTTTGGTACTTGTGTTTTGTTCACCAGAATTTCTGTACTTCAACGTCGTACTTCAGTACACACAGATATTTTCTTTGACCTCGTGAAAAGATGTACATGCTTTGTGGATATGTATATGCCCTTGAATTAATGAAAATTGACAAGGGCCTCTTGGGTAACTCCTTGGAAAGGAGCGGTTCCCTTAGTTGCTTGCAAGATTTCATAGTTTCTTTCTACGCTGCTAAGCAGCGCATCCGCCCAGTAGGAGTGGATCTGCAGAACAGAACAGGGCTGAGGATCTGATGGCCATGTTTTAGGGGGAGAGCAGTTATTTTGCATAAGCTCTACTTTGCTCCTGTAGACTGAGTGTGCCCACTAGCAGCTGGAGTACATGCAACACCTTAGTTTCGTCTGAGAGGAATCCAGTTTGTGCCCTCTGCGGTTGCTCTTGGATGTGAACCAAAGCACAGTTAAGTGCTTGAAAAGAACGCTGCTGATCCAGGCTATGCGATGTACATGTGTATGAACACTAGTGTAAAGTCACCCTTTTGCATTAAAGAAGTATTTTCTGGCAGGATTTCTTTACTTCAGTCTTCTTTCTTTTCTCATTAGATTACTGTCCTCTTACCCTCCCTTCATAACTTTCTCTCCGCTCTATAAAATCTTTTCGCTGCTGCTGCTGCGTTATTCCACTGCTGATCTGTCCTCAGACCGTTTATTTTAGTGCCTTATCCTTTATTATAGAGCAAAAAAGGAGGCATTTGTTTGTCCCGTATGGCAGAAGATACACGAGCTGTTTCATCATTATTGGTCATGGAAAAAATATTTTCAATGTGTACATTACTTTTCTCTATTCCTGTTATTAGAAAAGCATATATTTCCATTTGCACATATGCACAAATTTTTTGGGATGACCATTACCATCAATGTGTACCAGAATGTGGTTCGATGTTATGGGTGAGACTTACTGATGAAATATAACCAATTTACAGACTTAAGTCTCACTAGCACTTGTTGAGAACTAGTGCTCTTTGTTTTAATAATAAAGAAGGTGGATGGCTGCACTAGGTAAACAGATATGAACGCAAGACAGCCTAGAACTGTATTGGATGTTTATTAAAATGTATATGATCTGAATCTAAATGCGAACACAACAGAGAGCAAAAAGCAGATTTGCAATATATTTTAATGGTGATAAGCAAAGGGAACAAGGTAAAATGAAGGAAAACATTATGCTTTGCACATATAAAAGCAAAGTGGTATGACAGATGATCAGAGAATATAGAAGACACTTTAGGAAGGATCTGCTGCTGAGAGAGAAGTTAAGCAGACAAACAGACCCCAGTATCTCAAGCCCGAGACTGACAGCAGAGCCATAGTCTTTGACTTTTCTCTGTCTCTGTCTTTTACAAGCTCGTGTTGTCTTCTGTCCTTCCCACAAACTGCGAGTTAGTAAACTAAGTATTATCTCACCCAAGGGAGAAGAAATCTGAGATTATCTAAAATGAAGAAGAGAAGGGTCTGAATGAATTAACAGTGATGAGTTGAAGGCACAGTATTTGCAGATGAGTTTAACAGTTGGGCTACTTAACAGCGTAGACATTTATTTATGGCAATGCAGCTAGAGGCATGATCACCTGGGGATTTAATGGGGTTTTACTAATGGAAGTTTGCAGTGACAGTAAGTTGGCCTGGCTCAAGTATATCCCTTGCAGGTACTCCAAACTGTCACAGGTAACTCATTAGAATGGTAATGAGCAGCCTTGTTAATTGGAAAGAAAGTTCAGAAAATGGTAAAGTGCTGAAGGCACGGGTCTTCCATCTACCCTTTCCAGGATATATCCCTCATGTTTTTTGGTACCTCAGTGTGCTCCAGCTTAATAGCCAGGAAGCAGCTATTAGCTTATCATTATAACTAAAATTAACATGGGATGAGGATAAGCAATACACCCGGGGACTCATTATTTGTCTTCCAGATGCAGGGGGTGAAGAAAATATGGAAGTAACTGTGTGCCTTATAATGCTCATATTTTGATGGCCACGATCCAGGCCCTGACTAATGATTTTGAAATGCTGAGGACAGAAGTTAAACAGGCATCTAGAGCCAGGACCCCGCTGGGGAACCCCTGATTAGCACGCAGAGGGCGAAAAGCAAGGGAAGCACTGAAACTTGAAACCAGGCCAAGAGCATAAAACCCACAGGGCTTGTGGCTGTTGCAGGTAATAACAAAGGGACTGTGTCCATATGAGGGTAAAAGAGACAGTCCAAGGAAGGATAAATCAAGACACCAGAAGACTGGGAAGGCAGATGGAAGGGACTGGCAGGAGAGGGTCCTGCTACATGTTTTAGTAATGGCTTAGGGAAGGCACGGTGGCTGAGTAATGGATCTGCACTGAGATTTGCCGATACAGGCGCCTTGGTCGTTGCTGCAGGGGAACGTGTAGAAGAATGATGGTCGGTGCAAAGGGAAGCCCTGAAAAGCCATAAGTGCGTTTTCAGAAATCTAATGGGTAAGAACATTACAAAACCTGGCAAACCCTGTTGGGAGTTTATTTTGTATCTGTATCGAAGGAAATTTCCCAGGTTTCCAGAATGTTGTGCTCGTCTCATGCTGTCTGATTTTTCATTTTGCGTCTTTCTTTTTTAACTTATAAGCAACTGAACATAAATCAAAGATTTGTCCAACAACCTGGCAAATTCTGCTGTGGGGTACAAAAGCTTTCTAGCACTCTAATGATCTTTGACTTTACCCCACATAGCTCTAGAAAATAGGTTATTTTTAAGTGTCTGAGGTAGAAGTATATGTGGATGGGCATATCCCTGGCACAACTGAGATCATGTGCTGTATTGCTATAATTACGTTACAAAGATTACCTAGATCTTGGTGTAATTATTCATTTTAAAAACTTCTCTGAGTATCGAAATTTGGGAGTTCGGGACAAATGGAAATCCGGGTTGTCTTCTGTTTCCTCGGTTTGTAAGGAAGTAACTAGTGTAATTGTACTTTCCAAGTAGTAAGAAGAGTCTTCGGAAATAGAAGCATCTTATTAGGCCATGAGCGAAGACTTCTAGCCTATGCTAGTACAGACATCTGTCGCTAAGATGTGACTAAGGATAAAATGTTTCTACATGGTGAGACCATGGTACTTTCTATCAGAATTCAGCTTGAGAAATTATGTCGTCACTGTCAAATGCCCTTGGAGAGGAAGTTTCCCTGCTTTTCTTCTCGCAGAGATTTCGCTGCTGTTGTTATTTATGAGAGACCAGCCAAAGCCAGGCCCAAATTGCTGGACAGCGTACAAGTGATACAGTAAGAGACAATTTCTCGGTCTTGAAGAGCGATTATGTAAATAGACAAAATGGAAAGGAAAAGGAAAGGGGTAGAACATGGCAATCAATGTTGTGATGATAAATGACATGTTAATTCTGCATTTTTTGGCAGGGGAATATTACTTAGGGGATTAGAAAGAAGGAAAGGAGGAGATTTGTGGGAAGCAGAGCAGGCGAGGAGAGGAAGATAAGAAGGGCAGATGTGGAGTAAAGCAGAGGTGAAGGGACTTTGAGATGAGACTGGAACGAGCTTGGATCAAGCAGCCAATTGTCAAGGGCAGTTTAAGTCCAGTCAGAACTGAGAAAAATCTTTTTGGTTTCGGTAGTCCCTGCTTTAGCTTTTTCTACAGCTGCTCTGTTGGCTTAAGTGTCTGGCTGTTGCCTCTCTGCAGTTTCTTTTCCAAAGCTTGTGTGGCTAAAGTCAGAGGAGAGGTCCTCTGTGGGGCCTGTTTCACCCCAGCGGTTGTTCGACTGCCTGCCTGTGGCATGCCGCAGGGCAGGGAAAAGGTTGGCTGCCTCTGGGCCTCTCTCGGTCCTTTTTCCTCAGGGCAGGAGCCCTTGAGAAGCTGTTCTGAGGGCTTGACTACCTGGCTTTTGAGCACAGGGCAGGTATGTTGGGCTTGAGGAACCAGCGTGGCGTGGCATGCAGGATTTACGAGCGTTACAAAAGGAAATGGACTGTATGTGCGTTCGTGATACCGCAGGTACAAGTGTCGCCACGGCGGCGTAACTACTGCAACAGTCACAAGAAGAATTTATTTAAAGAAAACTGTTGAAAAGTTTAACTAAAAGAATAGGAAGAAAAAAAGCTGAAAGATCAGCTTCCTTGAAAAGCTCACTTCTGATATGTTTCAGTGAAACGACAGATCAAAAGTTTCTGACGTTTCAAACACTTATTGTGTAGAAAAGAATAGAGGGAAGCTTAGTTTTCTAGAACTGTAATTGCAAATCGATTGTTATAGTCGTCTTAATGTGATCTCATTCAGATTCAAGATTAGCTCAGTTTGCTGTATATATTGGAAAAACTAGAGTAAAGGTCTAGCCCTTGACACTTCATATGCAAGTTCTAATTCACTTATATGTTTAAGATTTTTTTAATAAGTTCAAAATACCGGTATTGTTAGATCCTTATACCTGTATTCTTAAGGTCTAACTGAGAACATGCCTTGCCTGAAAACTTCTAAATACTGTAAAAATCTCTCTTTTTCCTCCATGTTGTCTAGTATATTCCAGAATTTTTTAATATATTAAAGTGGCCATCATTCCCTTCACTCCCTTCACCAACCAGAACTAATTCCAAAATAATGTTTCGCACTTTGTGTCATTACAGATTTTTGAAACTTTTCTTTGGTTTTCCTAGATCAGATACATTTGAAAAAGACAATGACAAATGTTCTAAAGGGTGAAACTGTTGCAAGTATAACTGTACTTTCGTGTTAGAAAGATGATGTCAGTGTTTGACAACGCTCAAAGCAGTTGAATATTGTTTTAATGATGTAGGAGCAGGGTCCTTACAACCTCCCCTTGAAGAAGGCAGTAATTGGGGAATAATGCTTTTTGTTAGAAGTGAATAAGAAAGGAAAGTGACTTCTTGTTTTTCTTTGGTGGAAAGAATGATATAAATAGGAGTATGATGTTATGGCTGATAGAAAAACAAAAAACAAAAGTTAATTCTACATGATATTCTTATCCCAGGAGGTAGGTAAATTGCCTCAGGAGATTCAGTGAACTGTAGATTTTGTCCCTCTGTATGTGTCTAGTGTTTTTAGGATTATTTTGAAGAAAGGTGAAGGTAATAGACATATGGCTTGGCTGCAAAGGGTAAGGGATACTTCCAAATAAACTCTGTTATGAATCACTGACCTCACAGTCCTCTGATACCTAGATCTGCTAAGTGTACTTAAAAATGGGAAGTTTTGTATGCTCAAGAGTACAAAAAGGATGATACACAAGAGTCTAGTTTCACATTACTGCCCAAGCATAGCTTGGTCCAGTGTTTGTCCCAGGGCTCTGGACTCTTGTCAGCAGATACCAGGAAACAACAAAAGTCCGTAGGCAGATGCAGCCCAACTTCCTCAAGGAAACACCTGAAAGGCCCTTCCACCACGAGAGCAGCATTCCCAGGTCACGAGTCTGAACGTCCCTTCCCTTTCCACCTGAAAATCCACCGAACACCAGGAGGAAAACTGTCCTGAGGCAAAGCAACTTGCCAAAAATAAAAAAGAAAGCAAATTCAGATAAAAAGATACAAAAAGTTATCCTAAGCAGAAATCGTGCCCCTCAAGGGGAAGGAATGAAGTGGTAGTTCTGTGAGACTTCGCTGTTTGTAGCGGGCTGATATTCAGTAGCACAAGAACAAGTGGTACCATTAGGAGGGAAGGAGGCCTTTTTTTTCCACTTACCAAGAGCATGACAGTCATATGCAAAAGATGTTTCTGAATCTGATTTCCCAGTGTATGCTCCAAAGCAATACAGTGTTCGCACAATTTGTGGGTGGCAAGTTTTGCCTTCTTTGAGACCTCAATATATTTGCTATAATGTAATGAGTTCCCATGTTACAAAGCATGCTTGTACCAATTTCTCTTTCCTTAGCTGGTAGATGAGTGGCTCTTAATAATTACGTAGATCAGCCTGGCTTGAAGGGCACCAAATAGGTGTCATGGCATGGGTTAGTAAAGCCCTGCATGTCTGACTTCTGTTGGCCTGGGCAGAACTGAGACCTGTCTGCATTTGACATAGTTGCAGTTGCCTCTTTGGTGAGACACGTGCGTGATTCCTACTAAATGTTGCAAGCATTTGCTCTCCTTCCCCCAGGAGGAGGTATCAGGTCTGCTGGAATGAATGTCTCAGCTTATTCATCACATCTCTTTGCAGGCTGCGTTGCATTGGCTGTAAATGAAATTGCTCTGCTTTTCCAAGTGGGATACGTTACACTCCCAAGCACCTGATCGGGGTTTTGGTAAGTGTTGGTGTTCAAGACCACTTCCCTTCACACAGAGACCACTCGTATGCCTTGCCTTCAGTGGGCTGTGCCACCTTGCTTGGTGTGATCCAGCTTGAGCTGCAGGCTGTGGTTACGGTGTAAGCCAGCGTGCACCGGTGCACGACCAGCTCCTTGGAGAGCCTACCTGTCAGGAGGAGAGGAAGAATGCATCTCTACAGCTTATTTCCACCTTGGGCCTCATTATAACAAAACGAGGATTGCCAGTTGGACCAAAGATGATCTGTGCTGGGAACTCTACTTCTCCGGGAGTAGATCCAAGACCACCAACCACTGTGTGCGCAGAGCGTTTTACCATCACATCATCAGAATGAGCTGGAGACCCTTTGCTCATGGCTGGCCTCAGACCAGGGTGCTTCAGGTGAAAGGTCAGAGATTTTAAAATTAGTTTGACAAAGTGCCCTATTCTTTCCCTCTTCCAAATTAATGGGCCTGTCTAGACCCTTTCCACAGTCAGCTCCTCCATCCCCTTAGCTGGCCAAAGCCTGCACCTGTCCTCGCTCCCTTCTAGCAGGCTGTTTTTAATTCACAGCCCTGCAGTCTCCGTTCCACAGGCCTGGGCTAGGGTTGCTGCATTTTCCAGGCAGTGGATTAAACAATGAGATCGAAAAATGATTTCAGCATATGACTGTCACGCATCATTTATTTAACCAAAAAAAAAAAAAAGCTAACTGGAAGGTCCATCTACTGCTTGTTTGCCTTGTCTGTCTGGGAAATGGAATTTAAATTACTGCATCACTTTAGGGACATCCTGTAATCCCCAGTATACCAAAGTTATCCTTTTTTCATGGGATGGGAACAGCAGATAATAAGAATTTCTGTAGTAAACACAATGCCAAGTGCAATGGCAAGATGCACTTTAAAGTATTATTGTTATGGGTGGAAACATACAGCCACAGAAATAGCAGTTCTACCTTTCAGAGAGAAGCTACTGAAGGCCTGTCATCAGCTTGCTTGCAGTTGCAAGGTGTATTCCTACCAAGATACTCGCAGCTTGATTCAAATGCTCACTGAGAAGAAGGGAAAACTTTCCAGAGCCCGTAACAGGCTCACTTTTGCAAAGAGTATGAAATGTTTCACTTTTGTTTTAGCACAGTATTTTTTTTAGCCTCTTTCTGATTTGCAAACTCCCCAAAAATTTTGCTGGGAAAGCGCTGACCCTTTTGTTGTGAACTTCAACTTACTGACAGCAGGCTTGGGCTTTAGCTTTTGTCGACTGCTGAGCAAAGCTCTCCGAACATGGGGCCTTCGTGGATCGTGAGTTTAATCTGTGGTAGTGCGAGGCAGGATGGTGCCGTGTTTTCATTTTGTTTTAGGAATCGTTAGCAGAATGATCCCATATGGTGTTTGTGTTTCCAAATATATATAGTAGTAAAAACAGTAAAGATAATAGAGTCCTAGTAGTGAACTAGGATGCTGTTGTGCTAAGTGCTGTAGCAATACAGAACAAAAAGTCAGTCCCGGCACCAAAGAGTTTTCATTTGAGGTATTGACAGATGGCTACAGACAGGCAGATTGAGGGGGAGATTGAGTAAAACAAAAACAAGAGGTCAATATTGGTGGTTTAACTGCTGTCAGAGATGCTTGTGGGTGTCCTGGTTGTGCACGGGGAGTCCCTTCTGAAAACGAAGGATTAATGAGAGTGAAAACTCTGAGTGCCAGCGGGAGCTGGCATCGCCTGCCAGCGAGCAGGAGGGCAAGGCAGAAATGCTGGGGAGGGCACGGGAGGCCTCATGAGGGCAGACAGCGATGGCTTTATGTGCGGTGTACTAGGAACAGAGGACAAATGCCAGGCACAGCAAGAGGCAGTTTGTGAAGGGTTGTTTGGAGGGGTGCAAAAAACTACCCCGTGCTTGGATCAGCTGTGTGAGGCTTAAATTATGACTAGTGATCCTGCTCAGTGCTTGCTTTCTGGCTCTGGTTCTTCAAAAATTGCTCTTAGACAATAGTTGTTGACCCACTCTTCTCTTCCTGCTTTCTTCCGTATGCTGCTTAAATCCCTCCCTTGTGTGCACCAAGGGTACAGCTCATCTGCCCTAGCTTCAGCCTGCTAAAAGTTGTAGGTGTGTTGTAAATTCCCAGTCTGGACCCTACCTTTAATCAGTGGTAAAACCGAGATAAGCAGCAGGCAGACCTCTGCAGGAGTAGTTTCTAACAAAAGCAGGTGAATTATTTTCTCAAAATATCCTGTCTAGATGACTAATTTCATCACGACGTCTAACTTTCAGACAGTTCAAATTATCTAAAAGGAATCCCGGGCCAGGTCTCCTCTTTCACTAAATCCCGTGTTAAGTACCTGTACATTTGTGAGACATTAAAAATAACATCTTTAAAAATGTAGAAAAGCTTCAAATTCGTAGCGATATCCAAAACTGCTGTTTCAAGAGAGAATATATTTTCTGCTTCTTGTACCAAATACAAGAACTCAAGTTACACTCCAATTCCCATTGCCAAGGTTGATTTTATAAACACTGGGAGTAGTTTCTGTGTTGCGAGCTTAGACAGGCAGAGCCAGGCGCTAACAGCTCTCAACACCACCTGAGGACATTTTATAAATGTCAAGGTTGCAAGATGTTTTTTTTGTTGAATTATTTTTTTTGTGGTAAAGAAGATGCAGCATAGAAAATGAACCATTTTTAGTAGAAAAATCTAGAGCTGACCAAAGAAAATTCCACAGTCAAAAATGTCTTTCTGTTGCCGAATGGAAACAGTGAAAGAAAATGATTTAAAAAATCTTTTTTTTTGCACAGGTTTTCTCACCTCAGCTGTAGTTCTGGTGAGCTTTGAGCTACAGCATATATGAGTGTCTCCACAGATGCTAATTTAAATCTTAACAATGCTGATATCAGTGTTTAACTGTTAATCGCTTTTAGGATTTAGCATGCATGTCCCAAAACCCCAAACAGTCTCACTGATTTCCCTCAATGCCCAAAGCCTCAAATGTCCTCAGTACAGCTGTCAAAAAACTCTTGCTACCTCTCTTCAGCTATTCTTTAATGCTAATATGTGCTTTCAGCAAAAAGTGCCATAAAACAAAGAGTATTGCAAAGATTGAAAAGTGAGTAGTTTACAGGGTAAAGTACCTTGATGAGGAGAAAATAGTAGGTACTAGATGTCTTACCTCTGGCAGAAAAAAATCTAGATAAAAACTAATGGAGAAAAGCCAGATATATTTAAATGAGGAACAAGCCACCTCCTCCCTCCTCTCTGGGTGACTTCAAATGGAGATGATTTTGAGGGAAATATTTTATAAGCTCATGCACAAGGTGTGCTTTAGTAAGATGTTTATTGCTGTTTAAAATGCATACAGGGGTGAAATAGAGGAGCATAGCATGCACAGGAGTAACATCATGACCTAATATTCCTTTACGACATGCACAATCTCTTAAGTTCTTCTGTTAGGTTACCTTTTCTCAACCTCTCATTGCTTTACAGCTCTTAATCATCATTTTCACAATAATTTTCTTTCTAAAATAGCCAGTGAACATCCTCCTCAAACCTAAACATACTCATCATGAATCTCTTTTCCTGCAACTGTTTTCCACTCCTATGGCATCTTACTGCTGATCTCTGAATTCTTCCCAGCTCTGCAGTGAGTGTTTTCTGGCTTTGCTTTTATTTTTCAGGAGAGGTGACCTGAGCTACATGGTGATACAAGGACTTTTGGCAACATTACAGAAGGTGCGTGCTGTTCCCGCTGACTTCTACAGGAGTTTCTATCTATTGGGTCTTTGGTAAATCAGTCTTTATGTACCCAAAATGTTTGTGTTTTTGATGGGTATTTTATGAAATAGTCAGACTGTATTGAAACAAACAAGAATTTTAACATTTATCTCAACCTATTCAAAATTTGTCTTGCATTCCCTTGACAGTTTGTCTACTGAATTTGTCAGTGATCATTAGGTAATAGCAACAACTAATCAGTGCTGCTTTCTTCTACGTTTTCTATTACTTTGATTAAAATTCCTGAAAAATTCTGCAAATTCTAGCAGTCTGATTTATTTAAAAAAGGGGGGAAGGGAAAGCAAAAAAGGGACTTGGTACCTAAACATGTAAACTAGATTTGAACAGCTGGATGAAAAACACTTCTATGTTGCTTCTAGGACACTGTTGCTTCTAGGACACGTAAAATTACTGTTGACGACACTTGCATTTTCCAGCTGAGGATCTCAGTAAATACAGGGCTGATCAGTTATAAATGAACCTCTTTGCTCAGAGAGAGGAAGAGAGCACAAGGAAAGATGACAGTTATTGAAGGTACGAAGCAATTTAAATAATTCAGTCTTTTGCTAAAATGTTTGCATGCAGAGCAAAACGTCTTCGTATGAGCAGCTTCCTGTTTGCTTATTCAAATAAGTGGTTTCACCAATGGTGATAATGACCCTCAGTACAGAAATTATATAGCCACAAACTCAGATTTATGGTCTTGTGATGGGAACAATCTGCTTATAATTAGTTATTTTCAAGAAGTAATTATCACAACACATACATGTTGAAATTCTATTACTGTAAATCCCGAAAGGTATACAGCAGGAGAATGTGTACCCTGATGACAGTTTTGTAGTGTTGGTGTCACTCAAGTATTTAGCTGAGTTTATTAAAGCGTTTGTGTTTTTCAGTTTGAACTATTATGATAGTCACTGTCGAAGATGGTGCTAGATGATTGTACTCATTCATTGGTAATTTTTAGTCTTTAGTGTTAAACCTTAGAGGGAAATTTTCTTTGATTTCTTTTTGCTTTTTGAAGATGGACAGCTCTGTGCATTGTGCAATATGGTACATAATTGCAATTGTATTATGATGCATTTCTACAAGAGGTTTTAATAAGTGAATCTCAAAATGTTTGAAAGCTGGTACTTGGATAAACAGATTTCTGGATTCTGCTCTGATGTCTGAACCTTTTGAGCTACAAATCTCATGGAAACAGGCTCTGTAATGGGAATTATTGTTCTAAGAATCTGCTCATCGTCAGGCTGGAAATACTACGAGTATTGTATTTGTTATTTCCACGTGCTAGAACTAGAAGTCCAGAGATGCAGAGAAATCAAAAATAGTTTGACAAATTCGTAGGTTATGATACACTGAGGTCCCACTGGACTCTGTGGTAGCAGAAGGAAGGCCTTACGTTTTCTGCCTAGATGCACTGTGGAAGTAGGTGAGATAGGGCACACTTTAGTCTTTACAGTTTTATGGCAGCATAAACCTGAAGACACTTAACAGTTATTTATAATCATCCTGACAAATTTCTAATGGAAATCATTTTTTACTTACAGACTATTCCGCATGTAAATACTGGTCTGCACACAGTTTAGAAGGAAGCTCCAGAATAAACAGCACTAGTTTCCAGGTAATTCTAAAATTTTGATAGCTTAATTCAGCAGTTTTTCAAAGTTAACACAATATTGGCACTTAACATTGTGCTGCATTGAGAAAGGCAGCATCACCTTCTTTTGAACATATCTCAATAGAACAGTCGGGCAGTCTTTAAGAGCACATACATACAGATTTTTTTTTTACCATCCACTGCTCTGAGGAATCATTGCTACAAAATCCATAACTGCTCAGATATTGGAACAAAGACATTCACCAAATCATTCTGTGGTGGATTTTTGTAGCACTTGGAGCAATTATTGGATTCATTAACATGGCGCATCCCCAAATACCTGGCAAGTTACTTCCAGAACCACATTATTCATTATTTTATATATATATGTGTGTGTGTGTGTGTGTGTGTGTGTGTATTTAGTGCTTCATTGAAAATTGCAATTATTCAGTTAAGGAAAGAAACAATCTCTGTGAACTCTAGGCTTACAACTGTGTTGAATTATTGAATGATCAATAGTTGATTAAATGAAAGGTTTGCAAACTATTTGTTATTTAAAAATCCCTTCTGCAAACTATTGAGTGATTGTTGATGAATAATATACATGTGCTCAGAAATAAGGAACAGTTTATAGAGAGTAGCTTATAAGGAGCAGAAATCAGGAATACACATGCCATAGCAATCAGACAGGTATGCTTTCCTGATTTGCTGACTACTGTTTGGCCAAGTTTGGAAACACCAGTGGAGAATTACAGTATGAGTTCTGCCAAGGACTCAAAGACTAAGGTTTGTGTCAGAAAGTCTTTTTATGTTATTTATGTGTTCCTTCCTATTCTGTTTCCAAATAGCTTTTTCCTAAAAAGAAAACAAAGAAAAATGCCCATGCTTTTTAAAATATTTTAAAATATTTCCTCTAAAAGATTATTTCCTCTGCTTCAGGAAGTTGGCTTGCAGCAAACCACCTCTAAATCAAGCTGCAAGCCGGTACTGTAAAAAAACAGAGTTTATTGGCAACAGACATTTGTAAATAAGGAATTGACGCTCGTGCTATAACAATAAGGAGTTCCAAAAAAAACAGGGAGCTGCCAGAATAAACAAGTTTGCAATGAGCTCCATCCAATGCTGTATATCCATCGTGGTCAGTCACATCAGCGGTGATCAAAATAATAGCTCTGGGAGCAGCTGGAGTTCTGCAACAGCCATCCCCTGCTTTCTTCTCGCCCGCCCTTCTCCACAATCTTCCAGTAGGATCCTTAGTCATGGGCAGGCTGCTAGCTATAGTAAAGTTGGCTGACCAACGTTTCTGGGGATTGGTGACAAATCCAAACCTTCTGAAGTTACTGAGGTTGGGGTATGCAGAGAACTGTATTTGTGTGTATCCCCCAATTTCAGGCTTCTTTTTCTCTGCCGCCTTCTTAACGCCTGCACTGCTGCCTAAAGCGGGGCTGCAGCAGTAAGGTAAGAAGAGCCACAGCAGACATTTGCCCAATTTCTGCAACTGCCAGTACTCATACTAAATCCAAAAGCAAAACTACTGAGCATAAGGTAGGAGCAGGTGTAGGATATCTATTGAACTGTAAGCATACTTAGGTAGCAGTGGACATGTGAAACACCATATTGGACAATAAGGTGCCTGAGCAGAAAGTTTGTTAACTCAATTTTAAGTGATACCTAACGATTTAAATGAGGGCGCACAGACCGCTAGACTAACGCTTGTCTTTCCCTCTTGTCTGCTGCAGATTCTGAAAGATGCCATATGTCAGACTGATGGGCTAGGTAAGAAACTATAACTTTTATTAGTGTGATTTAAAAATAAATTACAATAGTTTTATTAATGAAGTTCTGTGTGGAGTAAAACAGTATCCAAAGCAAGAATAACTGCATTCACTTTTCCTGGGACTAAAGATGAGGTTGTAGGTGTGGTTTTTTTTTTTTTTTTCATTGTGGACAGTTATTTTCTGAACACTTGGCTAACAGTCCAAAGGGCTAAGACTTTTATTTTTTAATGCAGTCTTTTCTTCTATGTAATTCTCTTAGAGATGAGACAATTTTTTTTGGCGGATAGAGACTAGTTCTCAAGACTCCTAAAAGCCTTATAGTCATCCAGCCTAGGGACATGGCTTAAGAGTATTTGCTGCACAAGTTTCTGCTGGCTTGGACCTTGTGCATATCTTGTTTTAAACATTTCATTTGTGAAAATGGCTTTCCTAGACGGAAAGAAAGCTTGAAAGGGTGAAAAATACTGATTTGCTCTGATAAGCTTAACTTTCCAACTGGTGGGGGATGGTGAGGATTCAGGCTTCTAAAGCTAAAGCAGAAAGCACGGGTGTGTTGGTGATAAGGAACAGTTTAGGGAGCCCTCTTTTCACACACATTCCCCCACTCCCCCCCCCGTTTTGTATCCATGAAGGTTCATAGTTCTGGCACTGAGATAAAGAGCAGCGAAGTCAGAAAATGCAGAAGTGAGGATTCCAGTGGACTGTGCTTTAGGTGTCTGGTACTGGGCGTAGACTGTTGAAAGTGTCGTTAGTTATACATGCAAGTGCATAGAGCTAGTTTAATTGCGTGCATCATTTAAAAAAAAAAGTTTAAAATTATTAATGCTATAGGTAGCAAACAACATAGGACAAAGCAGCTAGCATAATATAGGTACACATCCATATGTACTGTAAATCAAATCTATGCTGTTATAGAGTATAAAGCCATTATTTTTATGAAAGCTAGTAAGCATTTCCAAAGAGGCGTTGCATTGCTGAGGCTACGCTAGGTTAGTAGCAAGAGTGTTTGTTTTGATTGCTTAGCAATCTCTTTAGTATGTGTGCAAAGACAGCAGATTTCTGAAATATCACTGAGCCAAAAAAAAAAAAAATCACTTACTTATTCCTTTGAATGAAACAGTGAGTAAAAGCAGTTATCCCCAAATTTTGCTATTCTTTACTTTCAAATGTTCACAAATCCATGTATATGTCCCCAAAAATATTAACTGAATGGCTTCTATACAGTCACACTTCAGCCTTGTGAACTGCTTGCATACTGTTCAGTTCAGCTATGTTGCTCAGTATTTGTGGTGTGTAAAGAAAGAGTTGTCTGTGCATATAGTGCCCCCCCCCCCCCCCCCCCCACCATAATATCTAAACGATT